GCTTTTGTACACACTATTCTCCTTTGGGATGCCCCTCTACCTCTTCCCCTGGAAAATTTTTCAAGACCCAACTCTAACCATCTCTCCTCTGAAGTCATCCCCGTTCCCCTGAAGATGACTTCCATTCTCCTTCTTTAGCGCTTCCAGAACAAATTGTTCATTTCTGTTATTGTGCTTTACACCACAGAATAGTTACTTATTACCACACAGTTTAAAAAAGAAAAAAAAAAATATATGCATTACACACACATTGCAAGCTCCTTTAAGGGCAGAGATGATTGGCCTCCTCCTCATTCTTTATGCCTGGCATTTGCCTGGTACTCATTACAGGTTTATAAGAATGTAATAGATCCACTTCTCCACTCTCCCCTGCAGGGTCTTCTCTGCAGAATGATCTGAACATAAGCCTGGCCAGTAGTCAAATTTTCATTTTCATTTTCTTAAGTCATATTTTCATTTCTTAAGTCATATTTTGCTTTGTTACCACTTTGCCAACAAATCAATCAATCCACTTTGTTTAAGAAAAATTAAAGAGTAGAACGTAGCTGTCAAGCTTTAACGGCCTGGGAGGGAGTTGCCTAAAGGGGCTGTCTTGCTTTCTGATTGCTGCTCTGGCCAGAGCTCCTGGTAGCATAGTGCCTAAGGCACTTGACTGCTAACCAGAAAGCTGGCGGTTCAAACCCACAAGCTACTCCTCGGAAGGAAGGTCGGGCAATCTACTTCTGTAGTGATATCTGGCCTGATAGGTAGAAAAGGCCTCAGGCCCACTGCCCGCCATTCCGTCAGCACAGACAGACTTGGAGTCCTCAGCACCAGTGCTGTTATAGCCCAGGCCGATTGCATTTAGACTTAGGCCCCTCGGAGCAGTATGGGTTTCTGTTCTTGGCCCACATTCCTGCAATCTGGAAGACCAAGCCCTCAGCCCATACAATGGCTGCATGAAACCAGCTGCCTTGTGCAGTCTGCTATCTTTTTTGGAAGATTTCTTTGTAGAGATAGTTTTTTTGTTGGGTTGCATCGTTTTAATAAGAGAAAACTCTCCAGTTAAACATATCTTCCAAACACAGGAATGTTGTGTGGTTGAGGGCATCTTCCTTGCTTTCTTGCCAAAGCATCATCCAAAGTGCAAACTAGCATTTCAATTACTTAGCTCAGTGACTTTTATTAAGCAGGATAATAGGATTTTTTAGTACCTTAAACTGGATTTTATGTAAACTATCAAACCCCTGGTAAATCTTAAACTCTCCTGACCTCCTTTACAAAACTGGAGACTGCTAGAGACCTATATAAGGTCCCTGGGTGACTCAAAGCGTTTGCACTCATCCGAAAGGTTGGCAGTTGGAACCCACCCAGCAGCATTGTGGGAGAAAGGCCTGGCAATCTGCTTCCATAAAGACTACAGCTAAGAAACCCTTAGGGAGCAGTTCTGTTCTGTAATGCATGGGGTTACCGTGAGTCATGAGAGAGCTTGATATATGCTCTATGTTATTACTACATAACATGCCACCTTCAGAAACAGTCCAAACTTGAAAATAAGACTGAAAGGAAAAAGATGGTATTCCACATTCAAACAGAGTCACAGATAGATATAGAGAACACTAGACCTCTGTTCTAGGAACCGCAAGCTGTGTAAGCAAGGTGCTAGTTCTTCCAGCGGGACTGTTCTGTGTTTGCACTTGAGGCTTCAGGAGACCTCAAAAACAGTTACCCAGCATCCCTGGGTCCAGCAAGATGCCAGTGGAAGATGCAGCTCTTGCCGCCTTGGAGCCACCCCAGAACAGGTAGCAATGCCCTTGTGGCAAGTGGCTCATCTACCTCCTCCAGGTGTCTGTACCTTCCTGAAGGAAGCCTGCACCACCGAATTCTCTGTGTGATTTCCACCTCTGTGTCATACTGCCCCATCTCTGCTCACCCTGACATGAACCCCAGGCACTATATGGGGAGCAGGCAGCTCTCCCTGCACTGTGGCCAGGTGACTTCTGTGAAGCTGCCTGTCTCTGTTTCTTCTGTCTCTCCCATTGTTCTTCAGTGGGAACTGCCTATCTTATTCCCCATTTGAGAATAACCATTTCTTTTTTGAATCTGAAAATAAGTTTCTCTGGCTCTACCTGCCCCACCTGCACAGCATCTCTGAGGCTGCCCTCTTCAGCATCCCAGAGGCTGGGTTCTCACCAGCAAAGGCTCTGCTGTGATTCAGACTTTGGCTTCTCCCTCTGGGCTATAGATCTTCAATCACTCTTGAATTGTTCTCCCTGTACCATAGTGTCCAGGCCTTTCCCTCTCCCTGTAGTCAGCAAGATGTTGTGGCATCTGCCTCAATGGGTCCAGGCCCTACAGACTTGGTCCATCTCTGCAGAAGAAGCCCTGCTTCCTTGAAAGTTGGTTGAGGTTGGTTGGTGCTTTCTTTTCTGAGAAGGGGACAGCATGTCAACAACCTCTTCCTACCCTGAGCTTCATGAGTTTGTAGAATATTAGATGACGCCTTCACCAGCATTTCTCTTCCTTTCTGCTTGCTCAGCCAAAGCTGCTTTGTTTTGCTGCATCAAACGTATCTGTCCCAGTCTTTAGGGCTTTCCTTGTCTTCATGGCTTCTTCGTCTCATTTCATTGTCTCCAGAGAGAGGCAATTTAGAATCCTGACAAGTGATCATCTAGAAGCAAGAAGCCCAAGTGAGAGGAATGGATTAAATAGGTATAGTCCCTGACTTATGACGTATTTGCATTACAATGAACTGCACTTAGGGCCATCTACTTGTTTGCTTTTATTTGTACATCTTATTAGTAATATGTACTACATACAGTGTTACAGCACATAATCTGCTGAAATAATCATTCTCAGATGTGCACTTGCAAATGTTCAGTGGTATGATTTACTGTTCAAAACAATACCATGTAGCAGGCTATGAAAACTGAAAAAAAAGAAAAAAGATATTCGACTTAACATCAGAACTGACTTACGATGGAGTTGACAGAACAGAACCCTGTCATGAGTGGGGGACTACCTGTACGTGATTGTTTTTAGGGCCTATTACAGCTCAAGAGACTGCAGAATGAATGAAGAGAGCCAGACCCTCCAGATAAACCACCAAGCTGGGTTATGTGCCCTTGAGAAATATCCTTTCTCTGGGGGCCTTGATTTCCACAGACTTCACTTAGCTCCCTAAGACCACAGCCTGAGGGGAACACTTTCTCCATCCTCAGATTGGGCTGCTTTGCTGTTTGGGGGCTGTTTGGCTTTTAGGATGTTTGAGGTGACTGTGAAAGGGATGACTTTAGAAACTGTCTAATTTGTACCCTCAGCCAAGTGGGTAGGCTCACTGGTAACAGACTTATGTGGTGAGAACTGGTTTGGCACTGCAGCATCTGGAGCTGTAGAAACAAAGAATAAAAATGTATTCCATCAAAAGGCTTAGAAAAGAAACCAAACTTACTATTTATTTATTTATTTTTTTAAGATCCTGAGGACCAAGGTCTTCGGGTAACTTAAAAAAAAAAAAAAATCAAAATTATTCTGTGCAGAGGCTCCGGACCATAAAGGGAACAGAGTGTGTGTTGTACAAACACTGATGCTTTCCCCAGGTGGGGGCCCATGTCCTGAGCATTCACCCAAGCCACAGACTGGTCTTTCTATTCAGTTTATGACAAGAGGTCTGGGCTGGGAATCTGGCCAGGGAAACCACTCGCTCTGCCACTTGGGAGGCTATGGGCGGCTGCTGGTAGCAGATGAGAGCAGGATGAATAGGCCTTCCTGGTCTTTGTGCAAAGCTCTTTCCCACAGCTACTCTACTCACAACAGCCTGGGGCCACCTGGGGAAGCCAGACCAGGGCATCTCAGGGATTGGCCTTGGACCAGCGAGGCTTCATAGGTCCAGATGGGATTGCAGAAGAGGACAACAGGGAAAGGATGTGGGGCTGATGGATGGCTCAAGGGAGATCAGCCAGACTCTGGTCATAGGGCAAGAGAAGGGGGTTGGCCAAAGCCTTTCCCTTTAGCCTCAGGCCTGGTTCCCAAAGGTGTTGAGCACTCTGAGGGCAGAGTCCCTGGCCCTCTGCTGGCGTCTCACAGTTGGCCAGGGCTCTCCCAGCATCTCAGTCAACACACAGGCTGTATGGGTAGCAGACTCTCCTACAGCTTGGGCCAGGCCACCATCTGCACAACTGTGCCTTCCAATGTGAGTTAGAACAAGCACCTCCTTCTCCTTACACCTGTCTTGGAAACAAGAGGATATCTGTAAACAGAGATTGAGAGAATGGGGAAGAACCTAGAACTTTCAAGGCTGGCCTCCTCTGTCTTACTCAAGAAGATGGGCTCACATATGACCCTCCCCTGGGGAGGTCCCCAGTGGGCCGACTGTGGCACTTCATCATATGTAGCTGGGCACTATTTCAGCTGTACTGAGGACTCTTAACTAACCCCTTCATCCCCAACAGAAGCTTGCCGGAAGAAGCCATAAGCCTTAATTGTCTGGTTCCATATAGCAGAGAAGGGAGGCTGGTATGGAAGGGGAGTTTCTTGAGTTTGTCCAGGAGAACCAAAGCAAAAATAGAATTGCACTGTGAAGACAAGACTTGATACAGGAGGGATGGGGATGGGGAGAAGTCTGGTGGCAGGTTGTAGCTGGGTTTCACCAGCTGCACCCAACCAGAACCTGGCAGATTCATTGCTTAAGAAGAGCAGGTGCCAGAAAAGTCAACAGTAACCTACCCAAGTAGAACTCTGATTCCTCTCACCTTCTATATTGTGTTAAAAACTGGAGTCTTGCTCGAGCAAAGAGATTGCTGTGATAGAGAAGCACTGGAAGGAGGAGATCAAGGTATGGTTCCCTAGCTAGACAATTTCCTGTACTACAATCACCTGAGCCAAGGGTGAACACTCCCCAAAGGTTTGCATAACCCCAGTACTTCCAACCAAACAAAGGTAGAGCTTTGCTCAACACATTGGTCAAATTCAGCACAATTTGACTCTGGGTTAATTCCTGTCTTTTCCTTCCCCCTTTTAAGTGCAAGACCTTACCTACGCAGGACTGAGTATGGGTATGTGGTTGGCCAGCCGGCTGTGCATGCTGCAGTGGGATAATCACTGATTCTGGGTGTGATCTTGGCCTGTAACTCTTCCAGCCCATGCTCTCTGCTTTTCTATGCTGTCACTCTGGCTCCTGACCACCTCCCCCCCTTGCTATGGGTCTTACTCTCCAGTTACTCTTTGATTCAAAAATGAACTGCCAATCAAATGCTCCCCTAATGAAAGACCTAATCACCCTACAGTGTGGGCACATTGAAAGAACCTTTCCAAAACCTATGTTGGCCATACTTGGAGACCGTTGCCTAAAAACATGCCTGAGTCTAGCGTGGGCCCTTTTGGGTGACTGGCTATGGACCTTGACCATGGGCTGGCTACTGGTTGTTTGGAACTGCTTAGAACTATGCAATGGAATCTGGGGACAAAGCTAATAAAGAGGCATCTAATGGGCCTTAAGGAGCTCTGGTGGCATAGTGCCTAAGGCGTTTGACTGCTAACCAGAAGGTTGGTGGTTCAAACCCACCAGCCACTCTGTGGAAGGAAGACTGGACAATCTACTTCTGTAAAGATTTACCACCTCGGAAACCCAAAAGGGGTCGCTATGAGTCAGAATCGACTTGGTGGCAATGAGGTGGTTTTTTTTTTTTTTTTTTTTTAAATGGGCCTTAAATCCAGCAAGCTAACGCAGAGTAAATTCTCATCATGTAGCCCAGGGTTTCTCAAAGTGCGGTTCATGGCCTATCTGCATCAGCAGGAGATGTTTGGTTAAAATGCAGATTCCTGAGCCCTACTCCAGACACACTGAATAAGTCTCTGAGGGCAGGGTTCAGAAAGTCTACATTTTAAACAAGCTCTTCAGATGATCCTTGTGCAGACTTGAGAACCCCTGCTGGAGAATCTCAACGGTTTACAAACGACCCCTTTAAGCACTCCAGGCATGTCCTCCTACGCCAAAGACCAGAATCTGAGAGCAGAGCTGGGGAAATAACGCCTTTCTGTGGATGATCACAAGCTGCCACTTGATTTCACACCTGTGTGGAGTGGGAGGAGACGAAGGGGAGGGGAGGAGTATAATGTAATGTGGTATGTCAACTTCTTTCCTAGGCGTCATCCTTTCTGTAGCCCTGGCTGGCATTGTTGGCATCTGTGTTGTCCTAGGAGTATCCATTTGGCTTTTCCGAAGGAAGAAGAGGTAAGGTTTTTTTTATTTGGAATGGGTGTGGGTGGCTTATATATGTCCATGAGCACTGACTGCGAAGGTAGCCTTTAAGTCTTCAGAGTGCAGACTCCCGGTCACCTGTTCCAGTATTTATCCTGGCAGTGCTGTTCCCAAAACCCTGGCATCCAGGCTTCTGTTGCATGAGATGCTGGTTGTGTAAGGGTCATTGTGCTAAGAGTTGGAAGTGTGTGCACCAGCCTTACTGACTTTGCTAATTAGCTGTATGACCTTGAACAAGTCTCTTGATCTTGGGGAAGTCCCATTTTTGTAAACACAACTAGCAAGTCTGTTTTCTTACTAAGCTTTACATCTGGTTTTCCTTCTATGAATCCAAAGAGGAAAATGAAGGAAAACATGATCTCTCACCCATATTAGCTATCGATGCCCTTTGCCTTTGCTTGTATTGTCACATTTGGTTTTTCCTAAAACCTAATTTATTATTCCTGGTATGGAACAAGAAGTCACCAGGAACCCTATTATGGAACCAAAGGTTTGAAAAGTGGAATGATGAGACTTTTTTCAAAACATAGGTCTAGAACTGTAAGGTGTTAAAAGAGAGCAGTTGGAAAATGAATAGGTCTGTTTTGGTTATTCCTTTATTTGGGGGCATTCCCTCCCAAGACTGACAGAATTGAAGAAGGGTCCCTAAGAGAGGAATCTGACATCTAAATTGTGTCTCAATCCATAGCTGAGTCAGCCTGCCCTCTGACTCTCTCCACTTTGACTAACAAGCCTTATGTGTTCTTGTTCTAGTAGCAAAAAAGGGGACAGCAACAAAGGAGTCATTTACAAACCAGCCATCAAGACGGAGACTGAGGCCCATGCCTGAGGTCCCGTGCACTCCCAGGCACGACCACACAAGGACTTTGCCCTGGATGCCACACACTTTGGCTCTCTGGACACTTGAAACACCTGAAGGGGTTCTCTGCCACTCAACATGCCAGCACACCAGACACTCGGGGGCCTCTAAGTTGTGCGAGGGCCACCCTGGTGTGATCAGTGGATGGGAAGAGTTCTCTGATCAGGAAGCAGACTCTGAGCTATTTGCCACATCTGTGTGGGATCATTAAGTGGTCTGTATTCTGGGGTCACAGACCAGGCTGCCTGCTGGTAAGCTGTTATTGGTTGGAAAACACACTGATCCAGGGGTCCACTCAAGTGTGGTTTCAAGTGTCCTGAAAATTCTGCTTTTGCTCTTCAAGCTTTCAGACCAGAATGTGTACTCTTTGCTTAGGTTTTGCTTTGGAAACTCAGTTTCTTTCCTCAGGAGGAGTTGTCTTCCTCTGATTTCTTGTGCTATGACAGGACCTTGGGTCTGACTTCACAACAGGGGGGGAAGAGTTGTTGTAAGAGTCAAGTGGTCAGAGGTGAGAAAAAAACAAGCAATATACTTTGTAATATATGAGAGACATTTTCAAAGTCCTCTGGGTCAGAAACACTGAATAGATCCTAGAGAAAGGCTGTTTGAAGTTCCATTCCTGAATGGGGATGGAAAGGGAGAATGAGAAAATACAGATGGGCTGGGGAGACTATCACTTTGCAAATAGAATTTCTATTTACTTAAATAGAAATCGCTAAGCCACAAACAGGAGAAGGTCAAAGTATTAAGTGGAAATCCAGCCTCTTGTCAGTTGGGCAATTCTGTTTTGCACTCGACAGATTTTATAAATAATTAGGCCGTTCCTTGAAAATGTGTTGCTGCTTTCTCCCTCCTAGAATAGAAGTGAGTTCTGAGATGACTCAGATGGATTTGGAGCCCAGAGGAAAGAAGCAGAAGCAAAATGACTATAGAGTTTTGTCTCTTTGGCCCCCATTCCATTTCTGCTCAGCTCTGTGGTGACCCTCCTGTCAACCTGGAATTAGGGCTTAACCTACTTCTCTGACTTTGAGGAGGTCAAATTGTGGCTCAGTTCAAATATAAGGTCAAGCTAGAAAAGCAAGAAGCTATCTATGCAGGGCTGGCATCACTGTAGCATTTAGGGACCAATATAATGGAATAACAAGGACTCCCAATGGCTCAGTGGTTGAGCACTCGGCTGCTAAACCAGAGGTTGGCAATTCGAACCTACCAGCCACTCCATGGGAGAAAGATGAGGCAGTCTGCTTCTGTAAAGTTTTACAGTCTTGGAAACCCTATGGGGGCAGTTCTCTTCTGTCCTATAGGGTTGCTAGGAGTTGAAGGTGACTCGAAGGACACAGGTCTAATAAGGGAATGTTACAAAGATGCTTCATGTTCTCTCCACTCACAAACAGTGTTTCTGAGAAGACTCCAGTCCTTCATATTCCTCCCATAGATGTGAGAACTGTGTGGAGACCAGTTAGTTCCATGATTGAGAAGGAGGCTCTTCCACCAACCCCTATTTGCTGGCACCTCACGGTTCACAGAGAACTTTCTGACTCACAATCTCAGTTTGACAGTATGGAATGTCCTCTTCAAACATACATTTCTTTATAACATTGTTTTCCTTCTACTGCTCCCTCTGACTCTGAGAATTCCCTCCTCTCTTCTTTTCACAGCACTGGTAAGCCTTATGTCTCTATATCCTGCTTTGCCTGGCACAGTTGCAAGTGGCCCAGTGAGAGGCATGGATGTTTTGTGTGCAGGCATCCTCTGACAGCCTTGGAGCCAAGGTCAGCATCCCAGCCCTGCTGTGAACACACCCGCTGCACTCCAGTGGGCAGCAGGGGCAGCCCTCAGGCCCGAGCATTGTGAATTAGGGAATCGTTTCTTGGCCTTAGACCAAAGTTGCCAATCAGAAAAAAACCACTCCAGACCAGTGGAAATTTCTTTCAAAAGGCTCTCTAGATAGTGCATGGGTAAAGTTTGGGAGAGAACAGAGAGATTATTGTACCTAGCACAAGGACTGTTCATAAAAAGGGAGATATACCGGGTAGTGAAAACAGTGGCATTTCTCCTTCCCTCTTTTCCCCCCATTCAGCACAGGTTCACAGCCCTCACAGCTGAGACAAAACAAGCCTAGAGAGGCAGAAAGAATGTTCCAAGAATCCACGCTGTCAACTACTTTGCGAATTTTCATAGGACTTTTGATCATCTGACTTTGGACTTGGGAAACCTTTCTTCAGGTTCTCATTCCACTGATAAGAGTGCTGTGGTGTGTGAGGCTCACCACTTCTCACTCATTCCTCATCTCTAGGTAGGGAGAGAGGGCAAAGAAAAAAAGGGAAAAAAAGCTAATAGGCCAAGGCAAGGGACATGGGAAGGTTTGGCTCTGATGGTACAGTGCCTAAGGCATTTGACTTCTAAGCAAAAAGTTGGCAGTTTAAACCCACCAGCAACTCCACAGAAGAAAGATGGGCAATCTGCTTCCATAAAGATTTATCACCTCAGAAACCCAGTGGGGGTCACTATGAGTCGGAATCAACTTGATGGCAGTGGGGTTTTGCTTTTTGTTTGTTTTGCCTCTCACTAATGGGGAATCCCAAGTCTCTTTGTTCTATTTCTTTCATATTATCTGGTAAAAAAAACCTACTCCTGTTTCTTTCACCATCATTCTAGAATTTTGCTGCATTATTGACACTATTAATCTCATTTTCAAGTTCAGATCTCCAATTTTTCCCATCACCTAAACTTTCTGAAGGCTTCCTGACAGGCCTTCGGGAGCACCTCCACTTGGGGGAGCCAGAGTCTGCAGCACCCCCCGGCCCTGTGCCTCCGACCGCAGGCCACTGTGATTATGGTCCGTTTATCACTTCTCTGTTTATTGTAAGAATAACTATAATGAAGATACACACGACAAATATGAAAAATTCTAAATAAAATGTTTTTTCACGTCAGACTGATTTATCAGAGGTGAGGTTAAAGCATTCTTATTGGCAAAGTACTTTGAAGTTCCCTGTCTAGGTATTAGGTCATTAATCACAATGAATAAAAAGTTCACCAGGATCTAATGTCATTCATGCCAAGGTCTTAGAACCTGCTTTCAAGGGAAAATACACTGATGTATTTAAGATCCTTGGGTGGCATAAACGGTTTGTGCTCAACTAACATAAAGCAGTTCAAACCCACCCAACAGTGATGCAAAAGAAAGGCCTGGTGATCTGCTTCTATAAAAATTACAGCCAAGAAAACTGTATGGAGCAGTTCTGTCCGTGACACATGGGGTCACTGTGAGTCAGAATCAACTTGATAATAACAGGTTTGGGGATTTTTGGGGGTTTTTTGCACTTACTCACTTTACTGAGGGTGGAGGACTATGACCTGTGTGCAGCCACAGGTCACACAGCTTGTTAGCTAGTAGGGCTAGGAAGTGTGAGGATGAGAGCCTTGGGTTGGCAGAGGAAACTCAAGTCCTCCTTCAGTTTGGCCATTGCTTTATCTTCCTAGCCCCACTAGCAGTCAGGGAAGGGCTCAGCGAGGTGGTAGGATCTGTACTGGCCTTAAAGAAGAAGATTTGGACAGATGCAGAGGAAAGAGGGAGACATTCCTCACCAAAGTGATGTGAACACAGACAACAGATCTTAAGACTCTTTTCACTCCTAAGAGTAAAAAGCACTGCACCTAGTAGGTGGACAGTATTTGGCCTCTTTATCTTATTTTGGATCTTCCATTTAATCTCTTGTCTCAATCTAGCTTTCTCATTTCAGTTTGCTAAATGAGTGGCAGCCCTGTAAAAGCTACAAATAGGCACCATCATTGTTTGTGAGTTATTTGGAAAAGCTTCCAATTTTCTTTTCAGTTGCCTCAGAACTGAGATAGGTGAACTGTTCAAAGGTAATGTTGCTGGGGTAGGTGACATAGCAGCTGGCCCAGCTTTGGACCAGGGGTTAGAACCATTTGCAGTACTGGGGACACAATTTCTACAGAACGCTCATCCCTTGGACCTGTGCCTACCCTACTGGTTGGGGTAGGGAGGACATTTCCTGGAACCAGCAAGGAGGAACAACCATCATCTCCCTTCCCTCATCACAACCTTTCTTGTGATTTCCCAAGTCCATGATTCACCTGGGTTGAGGAACAGAAAGTATGATGATGAGAGCCTCGGCCTGGCAGAGGAAACTCAAGTTGTCCTTTAGTTTGGCCATTACCTTCTCATCTTGATGTCATTTTTGAGTGCTGTTAGGTTGATTTTGACTCTGTGACCCCATGTGACAGAGTAGAACTGCCCCACAGGTTTTTCTTGATTATATTGTTCTGGTTACCTAGTGCCACTCTGACAAGAATATACCACAAATAGGATGGCCTTAACAAACAGGAGTTTATTCTCTTACAGTTTGGAGGCTTTAAGTCCAAGTTCAAAGTGCCAGGCTCTACAAGCTGGGTGAAAGCCCCTCAACCTTGGGGTCCAGCTCTGCCTCCTACTCCTGGCCCACTGGAGCTAGAGGCGTTTCTTCACTCAGACAGCTGCTGGCTGCTGAGGTTGACAAGTAAAAAGTTACAGTCCCAATGTTACCAAACCACACAGCAGGCCATTAACTTAAGTCCATTGTAAGTCCCAAGGTCAGCAGAACATGGTAGGCTGCTGAACAACGACATGGCTACATGCAGGGTCCAAGCGTGCCATAAGCAAAAGACCATTCCCCAAGGCTTCTACTTATATACAGGAAGCAGACCACATTCCCTAAGGCAGCTATTCAGCTGCTTGTGGTAGATCCCACCATGGAGTTGACTGCCAGTCTCATCATGGGGAATAACTACCACCAGCTGGCCAGCCACACAACAAGGCCCAGCCAAGTTGACACACAAACATAACTACCACAGTAATATTTACAGGAGCAGATTGCCAGATCTTTCTCCCATGGAGACGCTGGGTGGGTTTGAACCTCCATTAGCAGCTGAATGCTTAACTGATGAGCCACCAGGGCTCTGTT